AATAAATATCACCCAGAGTCTAATCACATCAATAAATCTCTGTTGTTTTAAACAGTTAGAAGCCCATTTTTTGAGGCTCATGCTTAAAGTTTCTGGACACTACACTATGACTCCAGAGTGCCAAGATTCAGTTTGGTACTGATCTTATTTTGCAGAATTTACCTGGACACATTTCTTCAACCGTGTCTCTTCTCTCTTCCTATATTATTCTACTATCTCCTGGTCAACTGACTAAGAAAGCAAAAGCAGGACTCGACTATTAAAACACTCGATGAATTCTCATAACCACCTAACAAATGCAGACCTTGAAGGCAACTAATTTACCTGACACATAATTATAATTGATCTCCTTGGGACTCCAGTCAAGCACAGTCCCTTGGCAGCTGGGCTTGAGTCCTGAGCAGAGAGGTGGGTCCTGTCATGACTTCAAAAAGGTTGAGAAGCACAGAAATGAAGTATTTGGTATAAAAAATTTTGTCTGCTGGGATACCAGCTCAACATACAGAAATCTGTTGCATTACTATACACTAATAATGAAGTAGCGGAAGGAGAAATCAAGAAAACACTCTCATTATTAATTGTACTAAAAAGAGTAAAATACCTAGATATAAACTTAACCAAGGAAGTGAAAGAACCTGTACTCTGAAAACTATAAAATACTGATGAAAGAAATTGAAGATGACAAAAAAAGCCCAAAAAACAAACAAACAAAAAAACCCGAAAAAGACATCCCATGCTCATGGATTGGGAGAACAAATATTGTTAAACTGTCTGTACCACCCAAAGCCATCTACAGATTTAACACAATCTCTATGAAAATACCAACAACATTTTTCACAGAACTATAACAAATAATCCTGGAATTTGTATGGAAACACAAAAGACTCTGAAATAGCCAAAACAGTCTTGAAGAAGAAGAAAACTGGAGGTATCACAATCTCAGATTTCAAGATACACTACAAAACCACAGTAATCAAAACAATATGGTATGGGCACAAAAATAAGACACACAGATCAATGGAACAGAGAGCCCAAAAAAAAACCATGATTATATAGTCAATTAATCTTTAACAAAGAGGGAAGAATATACAATGGGAAAAAGACAGTGTCTTCAACAAGTGGTGCTGGGAAAACTGGACAGCTACATGCAAAAGAATGAAACTGGACCACCTACTTACACCATAAACAAAAGTAAACTCAAAATGGATTAAAGACATAAATGTGACATTTGAAACCATAAAAATCCTAGAAGAGAACACAGGCAGTAATTTCTCTGACATTGGTTGCAGTAAAATTTTTCTAGATATGTTTCCTGAGGCAACAGAAACAAAATCAAAATAAACTAATCAGACTACATCAAAATTAAAGGTTTTAGGGGTACCTGGCTCGCTCAGTCAATAGAGTGTGCAACTCCTGATCTTGGGGTCATGAGTTCAAGCCCCATGTTGGGCACAGAGCTTACATAGAGAAAAACAAAACAAACAAACAAAAAACCCTGCACAGCAAAGGAAACAAAAGGACAACCTACTGAATGGGAGAATTTATTTGTAAATGATATATCTGATAAGGGGTTAGTATCCAAAATATATAAAGAACTTATACGACTCAAAACCAAAGAAACTAATCTCATTAAAAAATGGACAGAAGACATGAATAGACATTTCTCCAAAAACAGTATCCAGATGGCTAACAGACACATGAAAGGCTGCTCAACATCACTAATCATCAGGGAAATACAAATTAAAACCACAATGAGCAATCACCTCACACATGTTAGAATGGCCAAAATTAAAAACACAAGAAAAAAGTATTGGTGAGGATGTGGGGAGGGGAAAAAAAAAACAAAAAACAAACACCCTCTTGCACTGTTGGGAGGAATGCAAACTGGTGCAAACACTGTGGAGCAGTTTGGAGGCTCCTCAAAAAAAGTTAAAATTAGAGGGGCGCCTGGGTGGTTAAGTGCCTGACTTCAGCTCAGATCACAATCTCATGGTTTGTGAGTTCGAGACCCACACTGGGCTCTCCGCTCTTAGCACTGAGCATGCTTCAGATCCTCTGTATCCTTCTCTCTGTCCCTCCCCCACTCACACACGTTCTCTCTCTCTCAAAAATAAACAAACATTTAAAAAATTAAAATTAGAATTACCATATGATTCAGTAATTCCCCTACCGGGTATTTACCCAAAGAATATGAAAATACTAATTTCAAAAGATGCATGCACCCCTATGTCATTGCGGCATTTATTTACAATAGTCCAAATATGGAAGCAGCCCAAGTGTCCATTGATAGATGAACGGATACAGAAGAGGTGGTATATATACACAATGGAATATTACTCAGCCATAAAAAAAGAATAAAAGCTTGCCATTTGCAACAGCATAGATAGATCTAGAGATTTAATGTTAAATGAAATAAATCAGAAAGACAAATACCGTATGATTTTACTCATATGTGGAATTTAAGAAACAAAGAAAAAGAGACAAACAACAAACTCTTAAATAGAGAAAAAACTGGTAACTATCAAAGAGAAGGTGGGTAGTGGATTAAGTGAAATGGGGATTAAGAGTACATTTATTGCGATGAGAACTGAGTAATATATAGAACTGTTGAGTCACTGATCTTGAAACTAATTTAACACTGTATGCTAATTATACTTGATTTAAAATAAAAAAAAAAATTTTAATGTTGTTTACTTCCTGTTTTTATGAGGTCTGAATACCAAAATTGCCTTTGGGAGTTTTACAAAATCTCTTGAAAAATAGTTTTATCCCAATTTTAGTCCAATGTTAGTATCTTTTTCTCTCTGACTGTTCCTTTGAAAAATAAATTACAATAATACTCTGAAAGATTAAAGCCTGCTTTATAAAAATCATAAGCTGTTTGGCTGTTTTTAAAACTAACTCCTCAATGATTCTGCTTTTGGAAACAATACCGATCTCAAGTTTAAAGGCACTGGTTAGATCAAATGAAAGCATTCTCACATGGCCTCAATGTGTAGCAAGATAAATGACAGAAATGCTTCCATATGAGAACTAAGTTATGTGAAAATATAAACTAGTATTAGAGCATAAGGAAGATAAAAGAATTCAACCTTTTGAAAGGCTACATCATTCATTCATTTGCTTGTTCTTTCAATAAAATATTGTGAAATAAGGCGAAAACCCACAGAGAATATAAAGATGGTTTCTCCAATGAGCTAATAAAAGAATCATTAATTTTGATGACTATGGAAATATGTCTGAGTTCCAGAAGGAGCTTTAAATTTGGCTTTCATCCCCAAAGTAAAATATTAAAGAAAAATGGAACAGCTTTCTCAAGGAAGTGAAGACAGGAGAAAAAGGTACAAAGGTTTGGGAGGTAAGGAGAGTGTTTAATCAGTATTTCAAGAATCCCCCACTTGATTTAATAGTGCTTTCAGTCATGTAGCAGTTGGAAGAAATTTTAGCCCCTTGATGTCTCTGGTTATAAATAAGGGGAAAGAAAGAGGTCTCAAATGCATAATTCTATGTGGTTTGCAGTGCCAGCAAAACAAAGTCCGCTCTTAAACAAAATGTGTGAGCCATTTTTCCATTTTCTACTGACCTTTTGACAAGCAACAACTTCATAACTCACCAGAATTTTCAGTTTTCAAAAAGAAATACCACAAACATTTTGTCCTATAAGTTTTCTTTAACTTTTAAGATAAAGTATATTTTGAAGGTTACCAACTGTTTGCATTGGGCTCAAAGTGTTAATATAGGAGCTGTGACTTCAAGAAATCCTTTGGTTCTTAGTTCCAGATTTGGGCAATGTCTTTCTGCTTTCTACAGTCCACAAATGCTTAATTAGTATACTTTTGGCTGTTATTCTAATTTAGATGAGGATGAACCTTTCCTTTTAATTTCTCATTTGTGAATGGATATAGGAGCATTATAAATAGCTAGACTTCTGGAACACAAAATGTCCATGTTAGTGGCAAAAACAGTATTTGCCCCTTTCAGTGCCAAAAAATCATTCAGAATATATTTTATTTAAGAAATAGGAAAGAGCTTTAATAGTTCCAAAGTCAAAAGTTAAGAAGCTAAGCACTTAGCACTTACATAAGCAGAGTACTTTGTAGGAGAAAAAAAAAAAAAAAAAAAGGAAACCCACTGTTACAGTTAATTTACCAGTGTTCAAAGACTAAGACCATCAAAAGTATATACCAACATTTCATAGGTCTCATTTCACCAGTGAATGTATAAATAGAGACTTTAAAATAGGAGATAAAACTATAATCTATGTGTAAGCAATCACTCTTCCTTAATACTCAGCCGGGATTCTGCCTACATTCAAGGACATTCTAAGGTGCTCACCAAAGTTTGTGTCTGGGGAAGAAGTACCTAAAGGAAATCATCTTTATCTAGCTACTTCATGATAACATTTCTATACCTTGTTTACACAAGATCCTCATTTCGATATCTTGTTTATACAACTCAAACTCACTGTACAATGATACAAAGAAAACCTGAATTGGGTTTCTCTCACCTGAATATCAGCTCTTAACGAAGCTTATATACCACCTCCTCTAGGAAGCAGTCCCTGATTCATTCAGTCATGAAGCAACTGTTGCCCTCTCTGAATTTTCAGAAGAATTTATGCCATTTTTAAAGTCTCTATCCCTTTCTGCCTTTTATTTTGTATACGTGTCCTAAGTGTGTACTAAGTTATAAAAAAGATAATTCTGAGAGCTTCTGAGAGATTCCATCTTATATACCTCTGCTTCTTATTTAACTCAACGAATGCTCACCAAACAAATATAGTATGACTGATATTTGCTTTACACTAACATAAAACTATTCAGTAACTGAGGCACACTTTTGGTGGCTAAACAGAAAAATTAGCAGTCAAAACATTTATCAAATATGCTCAAGTACAGTCTCAAATTATTCAAGTAAAACCGATACCATATGGAACTCAAGGTAAGAAGAGGTCATTCTTCAAAAAATGGATGCAGATTATAATAATTATTTGTACTCACTTGTCTCCAAAAAACTTCCTCCAGAATTCAGCAGCATCTGCTTTCGTGATACGAAAGTTATCTCCTTGGAATTGCCCATTGGGAAAGATTGCTTTAATTTCTGCCAGCATGTGACTGAAGATAAGGGACAGTTTGGTGAGATTTCGTCTGTAGACAGAGGTGGGAAAATGAAAAATATATATATATAGGTGCATGTAAGTTTTAATGGGAATACATATTATGAAAAATAAAATTACAAACAGTATTAACACAAGTTTTGGTGGCTGATCATGAACCTCAACTGAATAATGAATCTAAAATCAATGTTCATATAAACTATACGTTTAAATTCCTAAAAGGCTTTCATTTTTTATCCGTCCATTTATTTATTTAACATAAGCAGGAACAAGATAAATTACATGATTTCAACAAAGTCACAGTTTAATGGGGAAGATAAAAAATCATAATCAAATATAAATGCTGAACACAAAAGTCAGAGTGACTATTTCTACATGAGGAAGCAAGGAAAGATTTATCATTAGAGGAGGCTCTAGGGAAGATTACATAGTTTGACAGATGAAAGACTTGTAGTGAAGGGGAGGAAGGGAAGGAAAGAAAGTAATGGGGCAGTAGCAGCAGCTTCTATACAAAGCACAGAGGGATGGAATAGAACTATTTGTGTCATTGCCAGGTTTAGCATAGCTAGAGAAGAGCAGAAAATCATTGAAGGGAGTGGCAGCACACAGGATGAGAAAGTTTGGTGAGGACGTGACATATATATATGTCATATATATATGTCTCGGGTGAGGCACCTGAGACAATGAACAAACTTTTTGTCAAATACACTTCTACTCCCACCAAGAAATGAGAGTTTCTGATGATGGGGTTCCAGATATGCTTGTATTTCAGAAGCTCCTTGAGCAATTCTAGTGTTCTCTCCTTATTAAGAGCTACGGCTAGAAGGAACAGGGAGCCAATGGATTAAAAAGACGGAGCACATGATTAAGTCCATTTTAGGAAGAAAAGTTATGGGACGCCTGGGTGGCTTAGTCAGTTAAGCATCTGACTCTTGATTTTGGTTGAGGTCATAATCTCCTGGTTTGTGAGTTTGAGCCCCATATTGGGCTCTGTGCTTACAGGATGGAGCCAGCTTGGGATTCTCTCCCTCTCTCTCTGCCCCTTCCCTGCTTGTGCTCTCTCTCTTCTTCTCAAAATAAATAAATAAACATTTTTTTAAAAAGAGAAAAATTTATGCTGGTATGAAAAAAGTGGTGTAGAATGTTGGGAAAGGCAGGTGTCATCTGAACTGTAATTACCATGGTAAGTTCTGGGGAATCTGACAGAATTTAAAACATGATTCAAAACATGATTCATACTTCAGAATATCACCTGCACTCCTTCCTGCCACTTCATAAAAACTTTATAACATTATGTGAATCAGCCCAAAACTGCTAGCATTAACCAGTAAAGAAGCAATTGAAACACAAAAAACTAAAGAACTTTTCAGTTTTGGACTGACCATGCTTCGTTATATTTCTATTTACTCAGAATCACCAAAACTCAGTATATCTATCTATCTATCTATCTATCCATCCATCCATCCATCCATCCATCCATTCATCCACCTATCTATCTATCTATCTATCTATATCTTTGCATTTCGAAGCTTCAGCTGCTTTTGTGTGTGTGGTAAGGGGTCAAAGGTGAGGAGAGAGAGAATGCAATTGTTTTAGGACTAAAAGTAAATATTGAGGATAATCAGCAAAAAAAGCCATCGCATTTGCAATGCATTTAAAACTACACAATATTTCAATATGCCTATGACGCAGAGAGATATGGTTCTTTGCCCCATTTTCACTATGTATCTGTGTTTAATGACTCTCAAATAACAAGCAAAAAAATCAAAACATGTTAGGTACCGAAGAGATCATACAATACACACCTGTCAATAAAGTCACTGAGTATCACTCTTTCTAAAACATTTAGAAAAGGATCTATAACTTTCCACGTAAAAAGAATACAGAATAAAGGAAGGTACTCATGATAAAAAGTGGGAAAAGTAGGAATGAAAGGGAAACAATAATATAAAGTACTCTTATACTTCAATGAACGCATCTCTATTGGAAAACCAAACTGTCCCCATTTCTATAATGTTTATAATCTATGAGGAGACTTATGAGAAAGAGCAATCAGAAATGTAGCCCATATTTTAATGCTTAACAACAATAAACAATCTGCAAAGTCATTATAGTTATATATAATGCTCTGTTATTTTCTTAGATTCAGCCACACTTCCACACAATTCAGCCTAACCCAAATGTGAAAGTTCTTTATTTGACTTTGATCTTCTCATTTATATCGATACATCCTCATTTAGATGATGGTAGATACAAGAAATTCAGTTGTAGGAAATGAAAACTGAACTATTGAACTAGATCAAAGGGAAGAATTGTGGTCAGTACAAGCTGCAACTGACTTTTGAAATTTGAGTTGAAGGAAGAACATAAAGTCATTTTAGAAAATCTGCAACAAATTTACTTATATAATTAGGAAAAAGGGTTAATTTTCTGCCAAACTTCCAATTGATACATACAGAAAAAAAAAAAAAAAGAAAAGAAAACATCACGATGGCTATAATTAGGGTAAACCAACTGTTCCTTATGTCTGAATTGGTTGCTCTCTATCCACTTATGCCTTTGTTCTTTAATCACATCCAAATGTTTTTCATTTTTATTTGTTAGATCTAAAGTCTGAAGCACAATGCTAGTGATTACCCATCTCAGCTATGTGATCCACTGGTTAGCCACCACCTTTAAAAGCAGAAATACTAACATTTTATCTTTATAATTTACAGTCTAGATGCTCTAGTAATCATTAGTATCTAAAATTAAATAATCACTTTTTAATTATAAAATGTAGGTAAGAGTTCAACTTTCTTATTCCTGCAAGTGGATCACATTTTTTTAACTTTTTGCATAAATTAAGGCCGTGAAAAAAGATATATTTTTGCCTTTAGTCTTTAAAGAAACTCAAATTCAAGTTATTAAAAACATGTGACTGCAAAAGTGTTGTGTCACCTTAATTTTCACACAGACGAGAATATATATCTCTATTTATTTTATATCTAATTTTTAATTTATATCTAATTTTTAAATACACGCATATACGTAATATATGTATGTGATATGTAAATGATCACCTTGGAAATCCATTATTTAAAAGATCAGTTTTTAGAGGATGCAATTCACAGCAAGATATGAAAAGAACTGACACCTAATTGTACTATCCAATGTCATTTAAATGTATCATCACAGCTTATGGTTTTTGTCTTTTATGTAATTCCGGGGCTTTATTGCTGTTTAACATTATTTTGCTATACATTATGTGCTTTAATTCCCCTTCTCAGCTTTTAAAATAACTTTTAATTTTGAGAACAAAATCCAAGAATAGAATTATTTCTAACCATTTAGACACAGGAGGAAGAAAGGCAATGACAATACGTCTTCTTTCCAGATGAAATGTTTTTTTCTTATTATGAAAATTTTCCATACTTGGCCAATTTTCCCTAGGTCCACTGATTGCTGCTCATCTCAACACCAAAATGATGAGTGCTTAATAAAGGATTTGATTATTACAAATTAAGAATATATTCTATCATCTAAACTCCCCTACCCCCAAAAGAAGTAAAGAAAAGCTTGTCCACGAAGACTCAATAACCCTGTAAACATAACTTTAATTTTACAAAGAATTCTGCAACACTTTCACATCAGAGACATTTTGACTAATTACTACCACATCTGCCATTAACCACCACAAGCTATGGCATTTTTAACATCAGTTTTGTGTGAAATTTTGTTTATTAAGAAATAAGCTTCAGAAAAGTAGTATCTTGAAATACCAAGTGATCAAAAAGTAGCTTCCAGGTGGCAATACTGGGTATGCCAGTAAAGATGCTGGTGTTCGAGGAAACTTGAAGAAGAGGAAGGGCGGGTAAATGAGAAAGAAAGCTAGCGACATTATTTTTTGAAGTATGCAATGCATCAGCAGTGTCAATATTGCCCACACAGCAAGGTATCTCTTTTTATCCTGGATTTAGCCACCTAATATTGTATTTCTTCAAAATGGTATGAATCAATTTCTCCAAAAGTCAGATTACATTACTGCACGGAATGTGAGGTTGAACCAGAGTGAATTAGCATGACTTCTGGAATGATGGAGTTTCATTGTTTAGGAATAAGTCTCAGTAGCTTACAGTGGCTACAGCCAACGTCCTAAGAGACTGGAGGCACACAATGATGTGGGATGATACAATCGTACCCTTAATAAACATAGCACGTTAAATGGGGAAAAAAGCCATGAACAGATTATTATGATACAATATGGTGGGGGCAACGCACCAAATACATAGCCATCTTGACATGATAAATTAAATTTGAAAAATGCATAAAAATATATCAGGATTTGATTAGTAGCCCCCACTAAATGTGGGAGATACACAAAGAATGTAATCTAATCGGATGGCATATAGTCCATGCATTTTTTCAAGAAACAGCTGTGTCATAAATCAAAGAAGAAATAAAAAGCTTTAAATGCTGAATTAGTGAAAAACTTCAAATGATACTTTATATCAGCGAGGTCTAAAGTTTGTGAGCATGGACCACCTTTGGTAGAAGAAATGGGAGACCATTTTTTATCTAAAAACTATTAATTTAATTCTCACATTTAAAAAGTAGAACATGCTCTTCTTAATCTTTACAAGGTGAAACAAATTCAACTTAAAAAGAGAGGCAGGACATAAAGAATATAAACAGTGGCACTTAAAACGAGACTCACGTCCAGTTAAAGAGCAATTTCCATTCACTGTATTTCTGATGTAGTGCCCTCCAAGATGGGTTTAGAGAGTTACTTCACACTGTTTTTGACCTTGGGAACATTTCGATTCCTAAGAAAGTGAAGAGACTAAGCTGATGTAAGCCTTGCTTTTCATTTCTCCCTCATGGGAACAGAGACTATTATTAAGATGGGTCCTGAGAGCCTTAAATTAAATTGGATCCTACCCATTCCCTGCCCAAATGCTTTAAGGTTTGCAAAGTTTCTGAAGGAGTATGAGGCAGAGCTGCCAAGTCCAAATACCAACAAACACTCAGAGTCCACCCCGCGTCATGAGA